AGAAAAAAAATAACTAAAATAAGAATATTATTGAATTAACAGATATTTAAATTATCAAAATCTTACCCAAAATACTATGTTTGTAATATTGACATTTATTAATTCTTCAATATTTGCAAATACTTGATATCTACATTCATTGCATTCTGAACAAAGCTCACCTAGATTTTCTTTGTACACAAAGCGCTTTTCATCTAATCTTACCATAAAAGATATTCTTTGCATTCTATTTGAATATTGTTCATGAAATTTATTCCATAATGTTTTTTTATGATCTTATAAGTATAATACAGGTAATCCACTAATATTATCAGTTTTATAAGAACTCATATTAACGTATTCTTTTGTAGAAAAAAATAATTCAAATTGTTGCAACTGTTCAGTAGTAAATTTTATTCGGCAAAAACTTGGTTTATTCAATGGAAATGCATCATAACCACTTATTTGTGCATGTTTATGTGATTCTAAAATGGTATGTCATTCAACCTTTATCAAAGAATTATTAAATTGTTTTTAGTAAATTATTTTGATAATTACTAACATGTTACAAATTATTTACACCTAATTTTTCTTGTAATTCTTTATAAGTAAAGTCATTTATAATAATTGATAATACACGACGTTTTTCATCTTGATTTTTTTTGTTATTCTCTAATGCATGATTAAAGTATTGCCAAAAAGTTGAAGTTGAATTTTTAATAGGTGTTGAAATATCCTTGACAAGAAATTTCATTTGATATAATTGGGTAAGTAATGCATGATCTTATTTCAGATAGTTAGATTTTGATCAAAATTGATACTAAAAATAAAATTTATTATTACAATAATTAATTTACAATTTTTTTATTAGAAATCTTTCAATAATACCTGTTTTTCACATGGCTAAATAGTTACATTATTGGCACTAGCAGCATGAAGAAAGATCTGTTATGCACTTTTTTCGCATATATTAAATTGATGATTTTTAGGATATATATTATGTAATTCATTGTTTAGTTCAATTAGAGGATTTTCTTATTCATCCCATTTTATAAATAACTGATGCCAATTAATATTCACAATTGTTCTTTGTTTTAGATAAAAATCAAAAAGTGATTTCATAATAGAATCATCTTTTCACTCTTGAGGTGAACATGTTGGTTTTTTTTGTTTTTTATTTAGAGATTTTATTATATAATTGTCAATACTTAAAAGTTGATTCCCATTGAATTTTTTTATAAATTCTAAATTTTTTCACACGTCAATTGGATTGTTACTTACATATGTAGTTTGAAGTTTTTGATCTTGATAAATTTCAACAGTATATAAAGTTTCTTTGATTTTAGAAACAAACAATGCCTGTTTATCTCCAAATTTATGAAGAAGTGAAAATTTATATTCCAGTCCAGCACAATGCCAATCCATATTCGTTGAATATCCTACCTTATATATAAATACTTTTATTTTTTCAAGTAAAAAGGAATGAGGAGTAAAAGGAACATCTTTATTCAATTCATTTACTATATTTTCATCATTTCATCCCATTATTAATGAACCAGAATAGTGAGTTTTCATTACAAAGATTTTTGAATAAACTTCAGAAATAGCATTAATCAGATCATTTGAAATTCCTATAATTTCATTACATTGACACATATAATCCAGTAAAAAGATATTATTATCTTTATTGCCAACAACTACTGTAATAATAAATTCACAATTGTTAAGCGTTGCTTTAATTGTTTGCTTCACTCGAATAGGAAAATAAGTTGTAATTTCCTCAGAATTGGTAAAGGTTACCACTAATAGCGAAAATATGAACCATAATGGTGTTTTTCAACAAGCACATCTGATGATATAAGACTAATATTTATTTTATGTTGTTTTGTCATTATATTATGGGTGGAAATATAGTATGCACACGAGATGTAAAAAATAGCTTTTTTTATTATCGTTTATTATTCCCAAATTTTATTATAAAATGATTAACATATGGTGCTGATCTTAGACGGATCGGTAATTAATGATTTCTTCTAGTAATTTTTATAATATTAGATCAAATTGGTTCACTGACATATAAAGCTTATAACCAACATGTTGATCATGAAAAGTTATGACTTCAAGACAGTTTTTACTTTTTTTAATCCAAATGTTGACTTTCCATAGGCATCCTATTTGACAAGAAGATGCATTTGAATGATAAAGTAGTTTTCATCTAGATTTTGTCTTTCTGATATAGTAACAAAGGTAAGTTTACTTTATAGTTTCCTTTGTTACATTATCTACCTTGCTGCCACTACCTATTTGTACTCCATGGCCTTTAGAAGCAGCATATTTCTTCATGAATTTTACTACATAGTTCCAATTTTGAAAAGTTTTACTAATAAATAGTTCTAACGCATCTATTATATTTACTATATCTGTCACATCTATCATATTTGTCACATTCACTGCATCTGTTGCATCTACTGTATTTGCCATATTCACCATATTTGTAATATTGTTAAACCTAAAAATTAAAAGATAAGCAAGAAAATATTAGATATGTTAACTTTTACAACTTTTACAACTTACTAACTAAAATATCTTACTTCTTACTATCTGTATCAGAAAAGTCTTCTAAACTATCATATGCTATCAATTCGTTAAATTTCTTATCCATTGTAAATGAAAACGAAGGCAAGTTATAAAATATAAAAAAGTTGACAAAGTTGAGTATTATAAGTTATAAAAAAAGTAGTTATATAAATCTGATAAAATGATTCTATATATAACAAGTCAGGTTGTAAAGAAATAGTAGATAAAATGACTCAAATTAAACAATAATAAGTCATAAAGTCAGTTTTAGAGCAAATTCTAAAAGAAAATATTAACAATGCCAAAAAATGTGTCAATTTTTATTTTTTTGCTTTGAATTTCTGAAAAAAAAAGTTGTATTTTAGGTAATAGGCATGTCAGCTCTGATGTTATAATAAAAGAATAACTAATATTAGTACTTTCATTAAAAAATAAAAAAATCAAAGTCACTTATACAATATGTGTAAAGGTGTAAGCCTTTTCATATGACTATTCACATAATATAAAAATTTAATAGCATATGCGTATATTTTACGTATTCTCATACATATTATTTTTGTATTATGTGAATTTGTTTACATAATCTCAAATATGATTAGTCAATCTTAAGAAGTCGCCATAGCGATCCAGATCGCCAATTATAATTTTCTAATAAATAATATAAATAAGTGATATTTATTGATTAGTATCAGGGTATTATTCAAAAATATTAACATTTATTTTTAAATAGTACCCTAGTACTATTTAAGGGGTACTTTACAAGGGATATA